TAAAACTCTGTGTTATCAATAGTCAAAATCAAATACGGCCAATATTCTTGCAATCATGAAGGATGTTCTTACGTTGCACATTCCAAATGTGCAACTCATAGGCACGTTTGGGATGGGACAGAACTTGAGTGGAAATCAGAAGAACATGAGGAAATTGAAGATATTGCGGCATTTAAGAAAGTTGGTGATGATATGATAAAGTATTTTTGTCATGACCATCATCTAAAGCTTGAGAAGTATGATAGTGTTCGAGATGCAAAGAAACAATGTCAAGCGTGCATCCTTCGCATAGATTCTTATGATTTCTACAACTGCCTACAATGTGACTTCATTCTTCACGAGGTATGTGCTGGTCTTCCTCGAAAATTGGCTCATGCATTGCATAGACATCCTCTTGTTTTAGACCCTTCTCCTATACTCGACTACCATTCCATAGGTTGTTCAACTTTTGGCCGTGACTCCAATGGTTTTGGGTACAAATGTTCAAAAAATGATTGTGACGACGAGATAACAATTCAGATAGATGTTCGATGTATTTTAGTTCATGATTGTTTTACCCACAAAAGTCATGAACATCCTTTATTCATCTCCACTTCTTATTCAAGAAAAGGTACCATTTATTGCAATGGCTGCAAAGATATTGTTCGTGTTGAGTATTATATGCAATGTACTATATGCACATTTTCTATGTGTTATCGATGTGCTACAATTCCACATGAGCTACACTACAAGTTTGATCCACATCCTCTCTCACTTTGCTACGGAGAAGATGCAGAGAAAACATATTGGTGTGAAGTATGTGAGAAAGAAGTTAATCCAAGAGAATAGTTCTACACATGCAACAAATGTTGCATCACTATCCACCTTGAGTGTATATTCGGATCTTCCGTTTATATCAAGTCAAATTCTACGTTCTATTTCGGCTCTGAATCGATGATAATTCTTGGCAACGGTAGTCATACTCGACCAATTTGTTATACGTGTGACAATCGTTGCCCAAATTCTGTATACTACAAGTTATTTGAGAAGAATTTTTGTTCATGGTTTTGTGTTTGGACATCCGGCATAGAAAATTGTAAGAGTTCCGAAACGGAATAAGCCATAAATGGTTTTACTAGACCGAGAAAAATATTTCGTTTGTAATGGATTAATTTGAATGTACGCTAAAGTTATTAATTAATAAATTTAGAATTTTTGGTAAAGTGTTCAACAATAGGAATTATTAGTAGTATGAGCCTAACTCACTTCCAAAAACTAGTTTAGAGGAGGAGGATTGCCACACACTTATATATTAGCCAAAAATCACAAACCCAAGCCATGTGGAACATTTAACAGAATGTTAGATACTATTAACAAAACAAAAGCATATCTCAAGCGGAAAAAATAAATATCATATATTTTTTAGTTAACTTCCAATCGATTGCAACGACAAAAGCTCAAGTCATGCATTAAAATTGTAAGAAACACACTCGCCATTAAACGAAGGATCCCACCATTGGTGAAGCCCATGAGCTACCATACTATTATATGATCCGCTCTTGTTTACAGTCATATTAGCCGATGAAAGAAGATGGAGAGGCTCAGTTGACAAATATGACAGTGATGATGTTCCTACTTTTCCAACCATAAATAGACTCCTAAGTGGGTTTTTAGTAGCAATTCTCTCCATTTCGCTCCATCCCATCTTAGACATGAAGGATTTATTCTTGAAATAACCAATGTATTCTGAGCATATTGGATCAGCTGGGTTCACATATAAATGAGGTATCCATGGTGCTATATTCATAGCTAGATCATCTTGTTGAACCTGTATTATAACAAAAGTTAAAGATAAAAATATCAAAAAAAGTTTTTAGTTTTTTGTAAGAAATTCAACTTAAAAATCTACTATTTCGAATAAAGCCTAGAGTGACCAACATAGAAACGAAGTTGATAATATGGATAGAGCAGAAATTTCAATTTCTTAGAAAGATTTTTTTTTTTATTTACCTTAAGATCTTTAAAGATCCTAGCTACGCCGGCTTTCAATACACTCCCGGCAATTCGAGTTCCATCATTTAGCAATTTGTGGTTAAGTAGCTTCTCAAGAGGGAGAGACGAGATGGGCGGGTTAAAAACATAAGTCTCAAGGAAGAACCCTAATTTTGACATGGTCTTTCCGGCTAGCAATGCTAGGCCAGCTCCTAGAGAGTGCCCCGCGAGCCAAACAGATCTTTGGCCGTGTTTGGCCACCACAGTATGGATTGCTTCCATAGCGTGCACAAACCTAGTGCCATGATGAAGGTTGTCAAAGACGCAGCGAAGATCAAGTGCCACGTCACGAAACCAAGTTTTTGATTTTAGGATTGTTCCGCGGAATGCGATCACGTAACGCGGAGATACTCCCAAATTAGAGAGTTCTTCGTCCGAGGACTTGTATTCGAAAATGGCACCAAATATGGAGCTATCGGATTCGTCGATCAAGGTTTCGAGTAAGGTGAAGTTGAAAAATTCCCACCAGGACTTGGCTTGTGATTCGGGACCTACCCGATTCATTTGCCTGTCTAGTTCCAGTATGTACACTCCATTTACCAAACATGATATCACTGAGGTTCGATGCTGCGAATTGCTCCTGTTAAAATACAAGGATGAATTGTAGATTAATACAAACCTTCGGAAAAACATTCTAGGCTATTTTTTTATGTGACATCACCACATTTTTCTCATCTTTTCTTATTTCTTATTTATTTAACTACTATATCTGTTACCAAACATATTTATTTCCAAATTAACTTATTTTGATTGATCACTTTTACTTTAAAATAATCATAAACTTATCAAAATTAAAAATTTTGAAATCCTAAAATTGACATCACCTAACTATTTCGAATATTCCATAC